AACAGAATGGCTGACAACTTGTAAAATTACACAGGCTAACATCAGCAGGAATCTTCAGCAATTCTTTCAACACAGCGGTCAGGTTTACTGGAGCTGGAGCGCGCTGTCTAGACGATGGCTGACCTTTCTGTTGTGACCAGTGTTTCGCTGGATTCCAAGGCTTTTTGCTTTTTTTTGCATAATGTAAGCTGACTTGTTACAAACCATGACCTTTTTTCTTTCACAAACAACACTCTCTCTAAATATGGACTCATATGAATTTGTAACAAAGCATGCATATTTCATCCTGTTTTTCACGTTTTTGTTTTCTAAGAACAGGAAGGTTTATCTAATTATTATATTCTGTCACAGTTCTTTGATGAGGGTGTGTAGGGAATAGACCATTCTCAGTTTATTATCCAGCAGAAGATTGACGACCTAATCTTTTGATACAAACTACCATGTTGTTGCAGCACAGCAGACAGACCCTGAGCAACCTTTCCACACTTGGCTTCAGTGCACAACCCTGTTCGTCATGTGGGATTTTCGTATGTTTATTTGTCTTTTCCTGGCTACAGTCCAGCACCACCTGCCGAGTTTTCCTGAGGATTTTGGGCTGTCATCAATAAAAAATTATATTCATAGATTCTTTGCAGCATTTCACATTTTTAAGAAACTGCCCACTCAGATTTGGATTAGTCCCCATGAGGAAATCACATTGCTGCAGGATGCAGCAAGAAAAAACATAATGTAAATAAAAGAGCAGATGAATGACAGAAGACAAACATATCCAACATCATTATCATCTTAAAATGCAAAATAACAGCAAATATGCAGGATGTTCATTAATTAGCAGCATTTTATACATGTAAAATAGTTCTTGTCTTGTTTGGTTAGTTTCAGCAAAATTTGTCCTTTTTTGAAATGGCTCGTCTGTGTTTGGCATAATTTTCCAGACTGTTCCCATCAGCATATGATGATATGACAGTTTTTGACTGATGCACCTGCAGTCTGGGTACAGATGATTTTGGCCCCTTCAAGCTCTGTTTACTAACGTGGTTCTGAAACCCCTCTCTCTTTAATCAGAATCCTGATTAGCAGCAGCAGCGTTTACCATTATGATTAAAGAGCCATTCTGTAATGTGTTGACCATATAATAAACCCTCAACAGCACCAGAAAACATGAATAACTGAGTTGTTCTCTACATTTCACAGTTTTTTCCAAGAAATTGTCAATTAATTTGTAGTCCAGTATAGAAGGTTCCAATATGTGATTTTGTTGCTCTAGTTTGGCGACACTTTTGCTGGATTCCATATTATGCCTTTAAAGTAAATGTTAAAATTGTATTTAAACCCTTTTCTTTTTTTTTTTTTACATTGGTGTTTCATCAAATACCAGCAAAACTAATGGAATTCAAATCAGCCTCAGCTGTACTTTTTGCTTAGTGCTAATTAGCACATTTTAGCATGCTAACACACTAAACTAAGATTTGAAACATGCAAACAGCTTTAGAGTTGCTGTTAGTTGCATTGGTTAGGCTAGCTGTTTGCCACTGCTTCCGGTCTTTATGCTAAGATAAGCTGGCTGCAGCTTTATATTTAACAGAGATAAAAGTGGCATCGATCTAACTCTTCACCAGAAATATTTCCCAAAATATTCAAAGTTTCCTTTAAAGGTTATAACTTAACCTAGAAAAATCTACTTCTTTCATCCACAATGTCACATTCACTGAGTTTGTAATTAAAGGGGCGTTATGGAGTTTCCAGTGGCCATTAGCAGTTTGCAATTGCTACCAGGCGTGTGCTCGTACGCGTGCTCACTTGAACTAATGAGCGATCATAATCCGACACACAACCACTTTCAAACAGAAATCCTGCAATAAATGCAGGAACACCAGCATGCGGGTGGTGACTTTTCACACAGACATGTTCAGGCTCTGTTATTTCAGCGTTCCCGGCTCAGAGACAGATCAACACCAGCTCCGTAACGTTACTTCATTCAGAGCAGCGAGCTGCATATCGGCCCAATCCTCCCGGAAAAAAGGCAGAGTGACAGCGGCTATAGACAGGTTGAACTAATCCATGCTCGTTATGATCACGGTATATATATATATATATTATACTGCATTTAGTTGATGTGCTACAGCGTTAGCTCGCCTGCTGCTTTTAGTAACTATATCTGTGAATCTGTCACCGGAGGCTCAGCAACGTCAGCACAGCTACATGTACTGGATGATAACGAAACGGGAAGTGAGCTGGACTGGATATTATAACGAGATTGTTTCACTCTTTATAACAGTTAGACCGCAGTAAGTAACTTTACTGTAGTGTCAGTGGATGTCTCTTCTTCTGGTGTATATTATGTGGGTCACGTTAGTTACAGCGACTGAGAGGTGGAGAAGCTGTGAACCTGAGTATTGGTAAAACCACAATAAATCTAAACTGAACGATACGAAGCAAACAGCGGCAGGTCCGAGCTACTGTAGCGTTAGCTGGCTGCATCACTATAGGCTAACGTTAGTAAACAAATCAATCCACATTTGCTTTTTGCCGTTACATCCTTTCAGGCTAAATCAACAGTGGTACACAGGATAGTAACATGGGTCGCGTTAGTTGGTGAAGTAATATGGAAAGCGATGTAACTTTGCACCGGATAACATTAGCAACTGCTCAGCTTTAGCCGGCGAGCTAACGTGACTTTCTCTGTGTTTCTCCAGCTTTTCTAATGCTCACTTTGTTCTTACTCGACATCATCTGAACCTGTTTGGTCTGATGGGCTTCAGCACATAAACCTTTATTGTTGTTTTGTATCCTTACGTGGAGCCTGTATTTTGCTGTGAGCCGGTTGTTTTATGGTGTTAGTGGACTGCATGTCGTTAGCTGCTGTGTTGTCGCTGTAGTCAGAGAGAGACTCGGGAGCGCGCGGCTGAATCCGGCCGGGAGACCTCACATTAAAAGCAGAATAGTGGCTGATGAAGGCAGCAGAGAAAACAGGTGTGTGCTTCATTTCTAAGTGAGTTTTGAGCCCATTGACAATAAGGCTATGAAAATTTGATTCATTTCATTGAAAAGCTTACATATAGTCCCTTTAAGTAAGCATTATATTTGGTTTATTGTCCGAGCTTAGCAAATAACAGACAGGTTATTTAAAGCAATGTTGTTTTCTGTTGTAGTTATAGTCATTTGGCATTGCAAGAACAGAACCTAAGCTATCTTGACTTTTTTTAGTGATTGTTTTAGTTGATATATGAATTGATTGATTTATTATTAATTCATACATCAGTTTCATCTTCAGTGTCTGAGAAATCTGAGAAAAGTTTGTTTGTAGTGACTTGGTATTGCAGAGGAGAGTCTCTTTAAGAAGAAACATACTGCCGCAGCTAATATTAGCTCTTCATCCCCTCTAGAAATTATGTAATATTATCTCAATGGAAGGCAGAGGTGGTGTTTACTGTACACATGGGTTTATCCCTCAGTCATTTTGAGAGAGCTTACAGCCTGCAGGAGATTTAGAACAGGACTACTGAAGCAGGGACTCAGAGGAACGCCCACGCTTAACCAGTTGTTTAAATCTGGGGATTTCACAGTACCAGCACAGCAGAACTATCAACCATTCATATTCAAACTGAGCCTTTGTAGATCTATTTGCTCTGTTTGCTCTCACTTTTGAAGTCAAAATATCCAGAGTACTGTACCGCTGCGGAGGATGTGTAAAGGCAGTGATTTACATTTGCTGTGTAACAATGGCCCCGATGCTACTGCTACAAACTGTCCAAATCAACTAATGTATTGTTTTTATAATTTCTTTGTTTATACATATATAGATTTTTGTGTGTGGTTGCAGCATATAATATGTTATAACCTTATTGAAAATGTGCTTTTTTAAAGTAAATTATAATTATTATTTTAAATTAGGCTCAGGTTTGGGCACGTGGTGACAGAAGCTTAAACACATCACTTGCATATATTATAAATGTATGGCTAACCATAACCATCCAGTGGACATGAAGCAAAATTAGCGTTAATTTGGAGTCATGTTTCAGACCACCTGATGAATGTAATTCCCATATTAACTCTGTTTTGGTCTCCTCCAGCTCCTGAGGGAAATATCTGTCTCTTTAACTGCTAGATGTTTGACGACAGCTAGTCGCTAACTTTGTCTGTCTACTCTTTGGTAGCTGGGCAAGTAGGGACATCGCACAAAATTCTGGGCCCCATATACAAGCAGCAGTCTTTGTGGGTCCCCTTACTCTGTTGGTGCATGCCTCTCATTCATCTTTTGAAAAATATTTACAAATAACTCACCTAACTGTACACATGAATCTGTAGTGGTGATTAGAGCAGTCACTAATGAACTGTTTATACCACATTTAAACAACTAATAGTAATTTGAAACATACTGGATTGGTATTAGCCTCCTAGCCTGCTTATAGCCTAACAGCATACTATAAAACAGGCTACTTTATGTTATTGTTGCTAAGCTCCTTTCAGTTGAAACTACAAATAACTACTTAGAAAAACTTTTAGTTGCCACTATATGAGCTCACCTTTGTCCTCAGTAACAGCAGGAGATGATAAGGGACCTGCTGCTGCTCCTCTCTCTGTCGCTGTTTCTGAAACTGAGGGGGCTGATGTTAAGTTTTGCTAGGTTGTGTTGATAGATATGTCATATGACATTGTAGCTATGATGCCTATTCATTTATGATGGTGACAGTAATTTATCTTCTAGCCTACAGTGCAAATATGCATCAAGTTAGATTCCTCTTTGACTGCCTTCAATCTAAACTGCTGCTGATATTTGCTTAAGCCATTCAGTAACTGTGTTAGCTGTGTTGTGCTGACCTTTCTTTTGAAAGAAATTAGTTAGCAGTTGTTTTCCTATACTTTGCTTTGACATGACTGTCACAAGGCACATTGATGCTCTAGCATCAGCAGTCACTTGGCCTGATTAGCTTGTTAAGAGACGAATCTAATGCGTGGTGGACTAAACCATGAAAACAAACTTTTCATTCCAGGCCCTTCGTGAGCCTTCCCCCCACTGGGGCCCTGGGTAATCAGTCCCACTTCCCCCCCACTATGACGCCCATGTGGGCAGGTATGTACACTGGGCTTATCAGAGATTGTTGCTGGAAACAGCTGTCTGCTGCGGCTAGAAACTGCACATTTAAGAGCATATTTTGCTGGCCCTGAAAGCAATCAGCTAAAAGACGCTGTAAAAGTTATATAAACCTGCAAAATCTTGTGATAACTCTCTGTTGCTTTCTCACTGTGGGTGACCTCCTTTGCTTTACAGTCGTACTGGCAAACTTACATAGTTGTCACGGTGAAGCTGCTTTCACTTAAAGTATATTTGTTTTCTAACGGTTAAATATTATAGTTGTCATCATTTGTTACGGTAGAGTCAGGATGGTGAGTTTTATTGATTCCTCCTTCACAAATCATGTAAATGTTGCACTCACCTTCAAGTATATACTGTGTAATCTCACTTTAACACATGCACGCGCACAAATCCATGGACGCAAAAAATGAAGTGTATCTTGTTTGAAGGAGGACAAATGTTCCAGGATGAAGCAGTAATGTGATCTCCTATAGTCAGACAGACAGCCAAGTGGAGGCTCAATATGAACATAATTACATTTATGACAGAAACTCGCCACATCTCATCAGTCAGCAGAGGAGAGAGAGGCCGAGTTGATCCGTTTTGTTGTCCGTCCGGAGAGTGGAGTGGGGATATCACTTCACCCACTTCTAGCGTATTAGGCAGCTAATTGAATTAATTGGATAAGGCTTAAACACCACACACCGCGAGTCTACTCTCCACATCACCCACACACAGGCTCAACTGTAATCTTCACACATTTAAAGACTCATATTAACTGTCTTGTCCTCTTTGATCACATCTTCTTACTTGTGATGATTTAACAATCAATTCAACAGACCTGTGTGAGGAACCAAATTAACACAGTTATTACTAAAATGTATCCCGCATGTCCTTCACAGTTACAGTATTGTGGCCTTTAATTACTTCCTTTGCAGAAAATAGAAGTAAATTGCAGAATTAAAATCTATGGATTCAATTTGCTTCGTGATCAAGATGATTAATAACTGTTGATTGATGTCCTGTATGTGATTAATGTTCAGACTTCACTAAATCCCACACCCTTCTGGCACAGTCTGTGACAACATCCAACATCTTGATTCCTGATTCTCGTCCAAATCCATTATACACACTGTATGATGTGGGTGGTGTTAAACTGGTACCAGTACACTGCACAAATAGAAATAGAACAGCATGAGCGAAATAGCACTGAGCATATGTGTACTTTTTGATTCGTGTTTATTATAAAGAGAGACTGGAGGTATGTTTACCAAGCTGTGCTTACCCTTAAGATGGGTTTAATTTGAGAAACATCAAAGTTGTTCGCCAAGACAGTTTTATTAGATGCCAAGAAGAGGCTTTGGCACGAGTGAGTTTCAGTGAAGCTTCAGAGTGAAAGCCAATACACTGCCACTAAGCAAGACAAAACATCAAGTTACTGTAATTGTAAACATACGCCAGAAAGACTAGAAGTCTGTGAGAATTATAAAATCTTTACCATAGGGCTCACACTATTTAAAAGAGAAGCAGATAGAAGTAATATCACTGAAAGGAGAAAAATATGATAAATTACATTAGAACGTCGTTTTGGGAAGACACTGTGGCAAATATAAAATTTATTGAACTTAGAAGAATCATGTTTAGGTTTAGATTATAGCCTAAACAAGGGTCTACAGCCATGCTAGCTGCTAACTGTGAACAGATATCCTCTGTGACTCTGGAGGAAGCTTTCTAAAGTTTGAAAATAATAACGCCAATGATGTGTTTTTTGGAGCTTGACCAATGGCCTACTGCTATGGAGTAAAGGTCAGGATATCTAAGCTTTAATTTTAACCACACCTTTTTAAAATCTGTCAGTGCTGAATTAAATGAGTACCCCGTTAAGTAATTATACAGTATTGTAAATTTAGCAGACATTATGAGTAATTTGAATAGATATTAAAGAACATTGTTCTGTTTACATTTTGTAATGTGCGGTCTATATTGGGATTTCATTGTCACATTGTAAATGAACATGTTATTCATCAAAGTCTGTTATGGACACATTTAATGGTAATCTGTGGATTGGAATTGATGTTACCTCCGCTGAGTGTACTTCTGCAAAAACATTTTGCAGTAAATAAAAAGTGTTCTGGAGCACAGTGTGGACAACAGAATGACAGAAAATGTCCTACCTACAAATTGTTCAATTTGTGATTTTGTTTTTCTTTCAGAAATTGGCTGCTAAAACATTACCTAGGATCCTCCAAAATCTTGCTGAGCAATTGCTGGCGAAGAAGCAACAACCAAACAACATCATTTATCTGTCTCCTTCCAGGTTTTGTTTTTCAACAAGGGACAGAGCGATAAAAGCTTCACAGCATAAACAAACAAAAGGGGCCTTAAATGGTGCACGTTTAGCTCAAGCACAAAAGGACGCAGTTTAACAGGTGAATCATTTGCCTGTGTGCTTTTTGATTAAATGCGGTTGGTTTAGCCAAGCTCCTTTAACACACATTGTGTCACATGAAATTGAATCAATTTAGAAGCAATTGCCAAAATATGCTCATCTGGGTTTTTGTAGTGGAATGATCAACAGGGCGGAATATGTTCAGATCAGTGTGATGTGTAATGTGCCTCCCATGGAACAGTGTGTCCTGTCTAACCAACTGTGTTAACGTGTGAGTGTATGTGAGTGTGTCGTTGTCTGTGCCTTAAAGATCTGAGAGCAGAGCTCGAGCTCGGTCCTCTGCAGCCTGTTGCTAGGTTTCTCTGCGCTCCTCCTGGCAGAACATAAACCAAGCAGATGCTTTTGTCTCAGGAAACTGTCCAATTAGTCAGTGACTGTATCGGGTCCACATATAAACATGATCTGAATTCTGTTTTTAAATGCAAAGAATAGAAACCACGTGTTTAACATCTTCATCTTTATTATTAGTCTTCTCTTACAATTTTGATTCGGCTTTGTCAGTAGGTAACTCATTAATAGGAGGTTCGGTTTATGTCAAAATAGTTGTATGTTTACGTATTTTCAGATTTTATCATAGATATTGGTGTTTCCATCTCTCTCTGTCTCATGCCCTTACCTACTGTTAAACATGGATTGGTGTCTGCTGTTTCTGTTTTTCAGGTGCTGTGGACAAAAAACAGAAGCCATGTAAATAAAATAAAATAAACATCACCAACAGCGATAGTGAGATATCATAACACCAACAGAGCTGGTACACATGTATGTGTCAACAGATCTATGTCCATTACAAGCTCAAGAAAAAGCCCTAAGTGGACCTTGAGCTGGAAGTGTTTTGTCAAAGTACTATTTTGAAGGTCAAGAATGAGCAGAAGGGATGTACAAAATAAAACGGAAGCATTATACAAAATCCAGAATGTGTACAACCGCAAAGAAAGGTGTAAAGATGTGAAGCAACAGTAATAATTGTAAACTTCCAACACATTTTTGGTACAAACCATACCTTGACTGTTGTCAGTTTTTACTGATCTGAATGTGCTTGTGCTTGTTTTATGTGTCATGTCAAGGCCTCTTTGTACTGTCTGGTCACTGTACTGACAGTATTGTTGTCCTTTGTGCATTTCTCGAGGACAAATGTGAGTATGCTCTTTTACAGTAGTTGCAACAAATTCAAGTCAGTTTTCTCAATTAATCAAACACTTACTTACGTGAGTTTGGTGACAACAGTGCAACAGTAATAAAATAATTATTATATTTATAAAAATAATTAGTTATATCACTGGAACAAACTGATGGTTAATTAAGTACTGATTGTTAAGTCATTCCCCACAACTTAAATGTGCCCTATGGAGTTTTTGACCGCTAAAAAATCTATGGAGCAATGTTTTTATGAGTAGACCCCTGTTTTGTTTGTTCTCGTGTGTACACACAAGCCCACAGGTGATGCGATACACATTCCTGCCAGTGGTTTCACAATATTCCACTGATCTACAGATGGTGTTAATGCAACAATAAATGCAGCAATGCACATGTTAAGGTAGAGAAAAAGAAAACTGCTAGCTTGTAATTTTAGTTATAGTTTTAACGCCTGTTGCTTTCCTCATTGTGTTATGTCTTCTCTGGAAATGTGCTATAATGTTGATTTGTTGTGTACCAAAGGAGAATGCAAAAGGTGAGAAAGGGTGACTCACTCTGAGAACTTTTTTAGCTACAGAAGGAAATACAGTCGACAGTAAGTTTAGACGTTTAGTGGGTAAATGTAATGTGCAGAAAAACTAACTAGTCCCGGCACCATGTTGTGATCTGGATGCAACCACTAAGTGAACCACAACCATAGTCAGACATTATTTAAATGCTCATTTCTCATGCCAGTATGCAATCCTAACCACTCCATTACAGTATTGGAGATGACTCTAACATAATCATAGACGCATAACAAATGAAGCATATGCATCCTCCCACAGACATCTGTTGTCACTTGCATTACATGATTTTTATGAAGTTATTAAGTTATTTTATTTTTCATTTGGATTTCCACAACTTTACACATGAAGAGATTAGTTTATTCATCTCAAGGATCATACAATTCAGCTTGTGAAAACGGTTGTATTATGTCTTCTGTGGCTGTGGAGGAGCTTCATCACGTAACCCTGAAGATCCTGAGTGAGGTATAGGCTGCAAATGCACTCAAGGTTATATGGAAAGATTGTGCTTTTGGCTAGAATATTGAAAAAGTAAATAGGTAATGTTTTTTAGATTGCACCAAGATCATCTAGTACTTTAAGTTGTTACAACCTAACCGTGAGAACTTGCTTTAGTTACCATGAGCAGATAAAACAAATTAAACATGTTAAGATCAAATAAAATGTTCCTTGACTGATCCCCCTCCACAGCAGTAAAAGGGGAATGCAGTGCAAAGAGTAAAGAAAGAATAAAATACAATAAAAGTAGGATCAAAAATCAGAATAAAATATGTAAAATATACATACTATATATAATATACTATATACAAACAAAATAGAATATGGTATCTTTGTGTATATCTGTACATCTTCAAAGGTCTAGGGGTATTGTGCATGTGAAAAAAAGAGTTGTGCTTGGTGGGATAGAGTCTCAATCAGTGTCTCCGTCAGTGCAAGGAGAAAGAGTTGTGATTGTTAGTTGAGCAATTTTGACAGTTGAGGTGTTACAGATACGGTTGTTTTGTTGATTGGAAATGTATCCAGACGTATTTTCTGCAGAAGTAGTAAACACAAGAAGACGTCGGCAAGTTTAAATTACAAGAATAAAATGATTCGATAGAGAGAGATTCCGGTCGTGGCTTATTGCTATACGCGTGCTATGTAGTTCAGGGATTTCCTTGGGACCTTACTTGTGGTCGGACTCATAGACGAGTGTTTGAGGTCATTTCTAGAAGGTTTTCTAAAAATCTCCCTCAAATCTCTACCAAGGTATTATCACATTGTAAATGTCAACACGACAAATAGTCATAATAGACAAAAATATAAGAAGTTAATAAAAGTCACAACATCGCTTATAGAGGACAAATCTCAGTGGCACTGTTGTCAGTTTATTCAGTTCTGGTGACACTGTTCAAGCCATTTAAGAAAGCATTTCACTTTTGACCTCCACTTCCAACATGGCTACCAGTGCATCACACCACCTCAAAGAGCCACAAGCTGTTGTTTCTTCTTCCTGTTTGTGCTCTCTTCAAGTCTGTTGGGTCAACGTCAAGCTAAGGTCACTGCCACTTTGCAGCTCGTTTGTGGTCCATCTCTGCCTGCCGCTTTGCGTTGTCGTGGCTTCTGTCCACATCTAAGTGTAACATTTCAATTGGCACTCTGCAGGGCAGCCGCATCTTTATTATTAGCCTCCTGACAATCGGGGGATAATTATGGGATGTCAGGAGGTTCTCCGTCGCCGACGGACAAAGCTATTTCTGGTGTGTTCCTTCCATCCATCGTACAACTTGCACTTAAGAGGCAGAAGGGGCGGCATCCGTGTGAAGTGAAGGGCTGAGTGACTCTTTTCAGCAGCCTAGGAATAGAAATGCAGAGCTCAATGCCTGCAGTCAGTGGTGGCGGTTGCTAGTGTCTTGTCACAGTATGTAAATTAGTTGTCACATGAGATTAGCAATGTAAATCCCACTTGCTCTTTGTGCAACTCCATATGGACGATGGATGAATGCTCAATGTGCAAAGAGGGAAATATTCATCAAACAAATCACTCAGTTGTTGAATTTGGTGATTTTGAAGAATGATAATGATGTAGAATGAGATTCGTTGCAGATGGGTGAGAAAAGTCAGCAGCGATGATGCTTTGAAGTGCCGTGATTAATAACACTTGCATGCATTAGGCCATGGATTTGAACCTGTCACTGATGGGGGACTCATTACCCTTGGGGACCCTGCCACCTGAGATCTCATTCATTATTACCCAGTCCGGTACGTTATATATATAAGAAATTAAGTAATAACAAAGGAATGTGATCTCCCGGCCCTCATCAACTGGGAGCTGAATGATGAAATACAACTGTCTCAGCATCTCTTTCCTCAACTCTAAACTAATGAAGGGATTGCTCATCCTTTCAAAATTGATCTCAGCAAATCCTGCGAGCTCAACGACAGGGAGAGTTTGAATCGTGTCACTTCAGCTGCTCTTTAACGTCTGCGTGGTCACTTAACAATTCTCTGCAGAATTAAATAAGCTCTTTTGGCTAGAGAGTTATCTAGAGAGAGTGCGATATTGTTTCATTGTAAAATCAATCAATCAAAAAAGAAATGTTAGCAGTAAATCATTAATATCTTTTGGTCTGTATCAGTAAACTGCGTTTTAGCTGTGCTAGATGCAGGGCTCTAGAGAAATACTGTTTAAATAATATATTTATTTCTGAGTAAAATATATCTTTAGCTATTGGATGGATTGCCATGACATTTATTACAGGTGATCCTCTTTTTCTTTGGTTCATGACCAAATGCCTGCAGAACTAGTGACATTCCCATCAGCTTCAGTTGTACTTAGCATCAGCATTTTAGTTTTGCAAATGCAGTTATTTACTTCTTGCAGAATTAGACAAGCAGATTAATAACACTATCGTGTATGTTTGATAAATATGAATTTATCGCTGTCAGCTGGTTAGCTTACCGTAATATAAACACTAGAAATAAGGCAAAGCACGCTTTGCTTTGTACAAAGGTAGCAAAAGGTAACAAAATTTAAAAGGCGTGCTGTATTTTCCATAAGGTCTAACTATTCCTTTAACATTGTCATTGGGAGCATGTTGTAATCATGTTAGCATTTAGCAAAAAGCACCAGTGTGCCTAAGTAGAGCCTCAAACAGGCACAACCCGTAGTCTTGTTTGTTAATTTCTGCTGCACCAGTATTAATATAGTATGCAGTAGAGCCCACATAGTCTTCACTCAACACTAATACATTTAGAATTAGTATAAGAATTGAAATTGCTGATTTGGGTTTCAAACTAATTTGTGTAAAGAGTCTTGAGCGGCTAGAAATGAATCACTGGCGCTCAAAGCATGGGATATAAAGCTATTTAAAACTGCTTGTTGTCTGTGACAAAATATGACATGTTAAGTTGTTGTTTCTTTCCATTTTCCTCCAGGCAGAAGAGCCAGCTTGTGCAGTAGAAAAAACAACATGTAAGACATCACATAAAAGGAGTGAGAGAGAGCTGTAGCCGTCAACAAACAGGAATAACAGGCAATTATAAAAAGGGTAGAATCTGGATTTACAGAACATGTGCTCATGCATCCTTTTCTGGCTTGAGCGTCCATTGAGCTTTTGTAGTTATTAGACTTCCTGCTCTTGCTGACAATATCAGCAGAGGGTCACATACAGATTGGCCCTCTCTAGCGGTCCCAACCTCATTTTGGTGTGCTCTGGATATTGTGCATGTGTACATGGACTTGACATTTATCTAACAATATGTTGGTGGAGAAAATGGCCAAACCTAATGATTGTTTTCAGTATTTTGATTGCCTATTGATCGTCAAACACTGTAGATGTTTTTCTACAGTGGGTTCACTGAAGGTAGTGGTGCCGCTACAGAAAAAAAGAGCCCACTTTGAGATCTACCTCTTACACACAACTCACCGTGTAGAGGAGCTTTTAGGACTGGCACGCATGTGACTCAGATATGAATTATGATTTCTGTTTGCACTGCTGGATATTTCTGTAACCTGAGTGCTTCCACCTCTATTAATGTGAACCATCAGGAACACTTGACCT